GCAGGTTCTGGGTTCATCTGCAGGTTCTGGGTTCATCTGCAGGTTCTGGGTTTAACTGCAGGTTCTGGGTTTAACTGCAGGTTCTGGGTTCATCTGCAAGTTCTCAGTTCAACAAAGGTTCTGGTTGATCATTCCCTCCTTTCACTCTGAGCTAAAGGCAGAGAGGATCCCATGAGGTGTAGCTCCTGGTCGGACCTCCATATCTGTTGCATCAGAACCATCGCTCAGACTTGAACCGGGTCTCAGGTGGTTGGACTTTCTCTGACCCACACATCGTTTTCCAACAATCAAACTTTTTTCTCCTCTCTCTTTTTGTCCAGTTTTTCACCCAGGAGTCTGATCTTGGAGCTTCGATGGTTCTGACCCAGTAATGTATTCTGGGCCCTTCAGGTTCAGTTCCTCCATCCAATCATAGCTCTCTGTCTGCCTCTGTTGAAGGAATGACATGTTTTTGACCAATCAGAGAGCAGAAGGACACGCCCATTCTCTATGACAATTTCCCAGTTCACTAGAACCTCAGTACGGACTCGTTTACTCTCCAAGTCTGTTCATGACTAGAACCCAGGAAAGTCAAGTTAATACTCTGAGCTCTGTGAGCGCTAACCTGGAAGCTGCTGCTGCCGCAGTGCATGCTGGGACAGCTGTCAGGAGTCTGTTCTGACGCATGCTGGGTAAAGAGGGAGGGGCCAGAACAACATCCGGGGCCTTTGTCCATTCTCAGTCTTCTTGTTCTTGTGACTGGAACTGTACTAGGGCTGAGGCTGATGATGTTTTATGAGGACGCGCAAAAACACATAGTGAAAAAGCTTTTTTCATGGTTCTGGAGAAACTGGATCTGGAGGTTATGTGAAACCTGCGGGATCCAGAAAATGCTGCAGACCCATGTGGTTCCAGTAAAAGGTTCTGATTCGATTAGATGTCTTTTCATCCAGTGACTCTGCTCTGGGACTCCTGCCCTGAAAAGGAGGGAATCACCATAGCAACCTATGACTCAGCATTTTTCAGGGCCCCTCCTGATTCCGGTCCAGGAGCCTCAGGTGGACACCGGTCGACCCGCCTGCGCCGCCCTCCTTCTTTCCGGGCCACTTTGAACAAGAAAGTTCTGCAGGGATGGCACTGCTCCGTGCTGCGTTCACTGCGTGTGGGAAATGAGAAGCCGTAGTAGTAAAAGCAAAACTTCAATCAAATGAATATTATGTCCTGCAGGCAAAATTATGTGAACATGAATAATTGGGCTCTGTTTGGATATTCAGGTAAGTAATGCAAGGAAAAAGTGACTTTCTAAAGTTTCTATTTCATTTAGATATGTTTAAAGCTTTTAGTTGATGTTACTGAAATGGGACAGTGCATTAATACACGTACATATTGTTATAAAGACTGGATTTAGCTAAAGGCTAAGTGGCATCCATGAATCTAAAATGTTTATTGATGGTTTCTGTATTTTAGTTTTCTTTAATGAGTAGCGGTCGGGTGTTAACTTCGGGAGAAATAAAACATGTTGGTGTTCATAGAATATGTTTTTAATGTATAAATAAACCAATCAATGCAAAAAAAAAGCATTTTCACAAATTTCTTCTAGTTTATCTAATTTTGATGTTTTTATCTGGTTTATTGTTTTTAGTTTTCATTTGTAAAATGAAATGATTGAAGATGTTTCTATTGTTCCTAAAGTTCATCTTCAAGATGTCATTCAGGTCAATTTATAGATCTAGATCATCCAGTTATTTACTTTACAGGATTCTCTTCTCCTAGATGAGATAGTAGATATTGACTCTACAGCAATCCCTCACATCAAGCATGCTTATAGTGACAGTGGGAGGAAAAAAGGAACCTCCAGCAGAACCAGGCTCAGTGTGAGCGGCCATCTGCTGAAGCCAACTGGGGTTCAAGGAGACAGAAGCAGACATAGAAAAAGAAGCATAGATACAAAAGGCAACTGTCAAGCAGCTCCACAGGCGGCCCCATCCAGGAAACACACAGCCAGGCAGACGAGCTCAGAGCCAGCTCCCATGTCAGAGGATGAAGAGAGCACATCCAGTTAGTCACAGTCAGAGAAACAGGACTACACTGGAAAACAGGCCAAGCTCCAACATCTAGAAACAAAGGTGTTGATGGCAGCAGCACAGCTGATATTTCTCTCCAGGATGGAGTCACAGCCAAACAGGAACAGACCAGATGAAGCTACTATGAGAAAAAGCAGAGAGAGCAGAACGTTAGAGATTGAACTAACAGAATCTGCAGAGTGGGAGAATAGAGATAGAATGATGAAAAAGGGGTCCCTATGTCCTCCAGCAGTCTAAGCCTATAGCAGCATAACTATAGAGATAGCTCAGGATAACCTGAGCCACTCTAACTATAAGCTTTATCAAAAAGGAAAGTTTTAAGCCTAGCCTTAATCCAAAATAACACCAAGGTTTGTTACTTTGTGGTCTTGGACAAATATAATCTTATCCAGATGAAAGGACTGACCAGTCATCTTCAGAATCTGAAGTCGATACTGAATTGAAGCTGCTGTTGTTAATATGCAAACACTTCTGAACCTGAGGAGGACTGGATGAGGTTTTTATTCTCATTCCACTGTCAGACTATAGATCTACAGCATTGATTCTCCGTGTTTAACCCTTGGGGAGCAGTGTGGGGTTAAGGGTCTTTGCTCAGGGAGCCAGAGTGGCTGTCTGTGGGAGTGGAGCTTTAACTCAGAACTTCTGGATTCATAGCTCTATGCTCTAACCACCAGGCCGCTCCAGCTGGTTTTAATCGGGGTAAAGTTAGAGGTTCTGCAGCCAGAAGCCATTGATCCATCAAAGGAGAAGATTCCCATTAATTCCTACTTCCTGGCATTCCCTTCCATCCTCAGGAACATTCCAGTTTCACTGTGTCATTAAATGCAGCATAGTTCTACTTTGTTGCATTCTGATTGGCTCAGACAGCATTCCTCTGACCGCTCTGACCAATCAGCGTCTTTGTTTCATGTGTTGGCCCCGCCCGCCAGTGGATCTGGAAGTGACAGACAGAGAGGAGGAGAAGGAGGGGCAACAGGAGGAGGTCTGCTCCCCGATCAAACAGCAACAAGTGTTCGGAGTGAAACTAGAAGGGAAGACAGATTGGATCTGGACCTGGACCCGGTTCTGGTTCTGGTTCCGAACCGTTGCCCCGGGCCGCTGCCTCCGGGCTGTAGTGGATCTCTCCGGCCGCAGAGGTGAGCCTTCAGGGCGGCTTTGTTCCCAACAGGTGCCGCTAGCAGCTAGCTGCTAACATTAGCCCCGAAAAGTTCGGATCTGTTCGACCCGGATGGTTCAGCTTCCTTTCTGAGCCCACATTCCCAGTTGGTTCCGACTTGAGCGGACGGAACCGGCCCAGCAGCTCCGCTGGGTTCTGGTTCCGATGGTTTGGGTCCAGTTAGCTTGATGCTAGCTGCTGTCAGTCACTGCGCCTTGCGGGGACCGAACCGGACCACTGGGCCCAACAGAACCGATCCAAATAATAACAGAACAACTTCAACTCAGAACCGGAACCAGAACCCTGATTATAGTCTGTTTGGTACCGAGGACAGAACCGGAACCCAAACATGAACGAGCCTGTTGCTGGTTCTGGAGGTTCTGTTCACTTCCAGAAGCTCTTTGGGTCATCCAGTACCGGCTGGACGTCAGGAACCGGACCTTTGGGCACAGTGAGCTTTTCATCAGAACCAAATGGGTCCATTAAGTCCAGCAGACTGACCCGATGGAGGGGAAGGTTCTGATGGACCCGGTAGAACAATCAGGGGTTCTGATGGTGACCCGGTAGAACCATCATTGGTTCTGATGGTGAGAACCATCATTGGTTCTGATGGTGACCCGGTAGAACAATCAGGGGTTCTGATGGTGACCCGGTAGAACAATCAGGGGTTCTGATGGTGACCCGGTAGAACAATCAGGGGTTCTGATGATGACCCATAGAACAATCAGGGGTTCTGATGGCGACCCGGTAGAACCATCATTGGTTCTGATGGTGACAGGTAGAACAATCAGGGGTTCTGATGGTGATCCGGTAGAACCATCATTTGTTCTGATGGTGAAAGGTAGAACAATCAGGGGTTCTGATGGCGACCCGGTAGAACCATCATTGGTTCTGATGGTGACAGGTAGAACAATCAGGGGTTCTGATGGCGACCCGGTAGAACCATCATTAGTTCTGATGGTGACCCGTAGAACCATCAGGGGTTCTGTGAGGTTCTGCCGGTTCCGTCCTCCTCAGGTTTTTCCGCTGAAGCTTCAAACCAGGAAACATTTTGTTGTCTTTCTGCATCAGGCCGCCCGCCCTGATCACCATCTAGTGATCAGGCCGCCCGCCCTGATCACCATCTAGTGATCAGGCCGCCCGCCCTGATCACTAGATGGTGATCAGTTTAGATGAGCGTCAGAATGTCTAGTGGATGAAACTGTAGTAAACTAGAAATTTCCCACAATGCACCTTGAAAAGTAGTGATCATCATAGACAATGGCAGCGTCCGACTGTCCACCCTGACCTCTGACCCCTCCATCACTATATAGAGCGGGGACTATATAGTGAACTTTATAGTGAACTCAGATAACTGACCGTTCAGACTCCTCCTCCACCGCACAGTGCCTGCTCCAACTTCGTTATTAGTGGCTGCTGTCGGGTAGCGACGGCGGGCCGCTGTGACGGCAAATCCCATCATGCTTTTTGAGTCACTACGTTTTCATCCACTAGACGTTCTGAGCATCATCTAAAATGGTGTAACCATGATATAGTGATTAGAGCGGACATTGGGGTGCAGCCATTGGCCGTTTCTCAGTTCACCAGAACGCCAGTACGGACTCGTGTCCTCACCAAGTCCGACCTTGACTAGAACCCAGGAAAGTCTGGACTCGGGGAGAACGGGAGCATACAGGATAAATCTGGGTCGACTGGAACAGAAGCGTACTGATGACATCACCACATTCAAAGCTAGCCTGACTGATGACATCACCACATTCAAAGCTAGCCTGACTGATGACATCACCACATTCAAAGCTAGCCTGGAGCTGCATTTCACCTCCTGGTATTAATAGTCTGTAGGTCCAATAGTCGCTAAACCCAATGGCAGCCTGGTGTTTGGGGCGTTACGCTGGGATTCGGGATCCCAGAGGTTCTGAGTTCGAGTCCCACTCCCACAGCCTGAGACTCTCTCTGGGTCCATGAGCAAGACCCTTAACCCCACCCTGCTCCCCGGGCGCCGCATCATGGCAGCCCACTGCTCCCTGAGGGTTAAATGCAGAGTTCATTTCGTTGCTCTCTGATGATGGATGAGAATAAAACACTGGAAAAAAACGGAAATCACAAAGATGGCGCCCGGCACTTTGCAGTGAGGCTTCACTATAAAGTCACTATACCCCCCATCAGTCACTATATAGTCACTATATAGTGACTGACTATATAGTGACTGATGGGGGGTCAGAGGTCAGGGTAGAACTAAACCCACCATCAACTCGATTTTTCACCTTCATAAACTCTGCAGCAGAAAAACACTGAATCCTCACTGGCCGAGTCCTGACCCGGTATTGACTCCACCTAACGAGTCTCGGTCTGGGGAAAAGAGAGAGCTCTCTGAGCCTGAAGACCCGTCTGCTAAATGATTAAAAACCTAGCATTAGCATTAGCCTAGCATCATCTGTTTCTGCTGGATCAACATCTGAGGATGACATCACTGCTCCAAGGTCAGAGCAGCAGGCTGAGTCAGCAGCCAGACCGCCCCGTCAGCACCAGCTCTGCTGCTCTGGAGACCTGATGGCGCCTTTTACGGACCGGTTCTGACCCGACTGATGCTGGTTCTGTTAGACGGACCCGACTGATGCTGGTTCTGTTAGACGGACCCGACTGATGCTGGTTCTGATAGACGGCCCCGACTGGTGAAGTCCTGACCCGGTCCACAGGTCTGTTTGGGGCAGAACTTCCTGTTCTCTCGTTAAGGCCGTATAAAGAGCTGCCCCAGTGCATGCTGGGAGATGAGGCCAGTAGAGTGGTGCTGAAATGGGATGATTTATGGTTCAGAACCAGAACATCCCTCAGTTCAGTTCCTGGTATTGGAGCTGCTCTGGTCACCCTGAGGAGAACTTGACCCCAGAACTTGTGTGACAGTTGGATCAGAACCAGGGATGGAACTGTTGATTAGGTCAACTTGGTCCCGGTTCTTCAGGAAATGGATCATCAGAAGCCCACCAGGTTCTGCTTCTGTTTGTTTCAACATGGCCTCCTCCTGGGACCCGGTCGGGCCTCATCCAGAACCTGGAGGTCCGTTACTATGGAGGTGAAGCAGAGCGAGCAGAAGAGCGTTGGTCCTGGTTTCCTGACTGATGCTGATCAGTCCGTCTGGGTTCCCCTCTTGAGGTCCAACCTGCTGCCCCACAGTGGACCAGGTTCTGTCCCGGTTCTGACCAGGACGACCTGAACCAGCTGGTGGGTTTTCTCCTTCAGTCAGAAAACAAACGTCTGCTTCACTGATGGTTCTGGTCCAAACCTGGAGCCTCAAAAGGCGTCTCTCCGAGTGCGGCGGGACCGGCTGATCAAAGGTGGAACGCAGGTCCCGCCATCCTGTAGCTCCGCCCCCTTTCAGCTCAACCACGCTAACCATCCACTCGTTACATTCAGGTGTGTTAAAGATGAACGCCGGGCCGCAGCTGAGGGAACTGAGCAGTATTAACCGTCCAGTCAGTGACTCCGCCCACTGAGTGTGATGATGATGCTGCAATCAAGATTCTGTTTAATTATTCAAATGTGTTTTTAATCTCATTCATGTTTATTATTTATTGCTGCATGTTTTAGATTAATGATCAGTTTCATGGATTTAATGAGACTTAGATTTAGTTCGATCTATAATCATTTTCTAGCTGAAGCCTCCGTATGTTTGCTGCTTCCTGTCTGTCGGTGGAACCAGCGGTTCTGGTCCGCCGGGTCGGAACCTGTCTACAGACTCTGGGTTCTGGCCGTGGTTCTGATGGTTTTAGGACGGCGTCTCCATCCTGGTTCTGAGGATCCAGGTCTCTGATGTTTTCCCTCCGTGTCTCCAGGTGTCATGGCCGCCTCTGTTAGTCGGCTGCCCTCCTAGACCATTACTTGTTGGACCTAACAGAGCCTCAGCACCGTGGAGCGGGTTGAACCGTCGTTTGGCGCCCAAAGCGCGACCAGGATGACCACCTCCCACCTGAACGGGCACGCCGGCGGGGAGGGAGGAGGACGAGGAGGAGACGAAGAGCAGCACAGGGAGATGGCCGTAGACTGTCCAGGAGAGCTGGGGAGCCGGACTCTGCCGGTCCGCCGCTCTGCTCAGCTGGAGAGGATTCGGCAGCACCAGGTACCGTCAGCTAGCTAACTCTAACGGTTCAGAACCCCTCATCTGCTCTGGATCCGTTTGGATCCTCAGACGGACCGCAGAGGTCCACGTGGTCCATCACTAGCCTGCTCTCTTCTTCTGTCAGGAGGATCTTCGGCGCCGCAGAGAGGAGGAGGGTCGGCAGCTGGACCTGAACACCTCGCTCCGACTCAGGAAGCTGTCCCAGAACCCCCACGTCGGGATCGACAACCCGTCCTTCCTTCAGGACTCGCTGGGCCCGCAGCAGCCGGCGCCAGGCGGCCCGCAGAGCCAAGCGCTGCTCGGTAGGATGCACGCAGAGCGGTTCTGATAGGGGGAGGAGAGTGAGGAGGGAGGGGAGGGGAGGCTGGAACGGAAGGGAGAGAATTCCTCAACGAGGATTAATTAAAATGTTTGTTGCTCCTGCAGAGCTGGAGGAGCTGCTGCTGTCGCTGAAGCAGGTCCGAGGCTTCCTGTCGGACCAGCAGAGTCAGAGCGACGTGGAGCTGGTGCTGACTCTGCTGAGCAAGGTAAGGACCGGGACCAGCAGAACGGATCCTCGGCTCATCTTCACTTTCAGGCAAAAGAGAAACTGATAAAGATCGGATAAAATAAAGAAACAGTCGCAGTTGAGATGTTTGGCCGTTCGCTGTAGAGCAGTTAGGGCGGACGTTTGTTACAGCCTGGTTATATAAAACTCCTACTGGAAAAATTTAGTCTGAAAACTTCCTGATATTCAGTTTCTGCTGCGAAAATGTAATTTAGAAAATCTGTTATCATAGTTCTGAGCAGGAAGAATCTTATTTTACTGATCTATAAATGGAACAACAGATAGGAGAGTGTAAATAAATGTAAAAATGGCTTGCCTTAGCTAGTCTTCTCCCTCTCTTTTGCAGCTGATTCTGTCTTTTAAACACATTCTCCTTTTAATTTTTCATTTCTTCATTAAATCTCTAGCTCCAGTGGGGGGAAATGGGTGCTTCCTGTTGTCATGGTGACTCGCTGATCCATACTCTTTGCAGACGGGTTTAACTCTGAGTGGACCGAGCAGCTTTGATGAAACTAAAACTCAGGATAAAATAATTCAGAGTCAAGGATGAATCTAAGTTTGTAATTTCTCCCTGCCAACAGTACAGATGGAGAGGCAGCGAGTGTGAGTGCGCCCCCCTAGTGGCCGGGAGGGGTTGAACATGAACGACCTTTAATGGTGGCGTCTTTTCTGCCACATTATTACCATGTGGCTTAAAGATCCCTCTGCAGCCGCGTAGCGAGCTTTGAAATAGAAGGTCTGTGAGTGAAACCTAAATAAATGTCCCCCGCTACAGGGAGAAATCAGTAATTAACCTTTTAAACTTTTACTGAATAACATCAACCAATCACAAAACACGGTCTGTTCTTCACGATTGGTTCCTGACACGTCAGTCATGGTCGTCTGCTTGTTCCCCCCCCCCCCGTGCGCGTACCCTGACATACGAGCGCATCAACCCCCCCGATGCTTGTGCAAGATGCCATGGCTGGAAGCTAGCCACTGTAATGCTGCGTTCACACCTAAAGCAGCAGGCGCCGCAAAAACGTGCAGCTGAGACTCCAGTAAAACCAGCAGCCTCTCTGGTCCAAACCCGTCTCTGAACTCGGTTCTGATGGTTCGGACTCGAAGCCTCTTCTTTTGAATGGTTCTGGTGGATCTATCTCTATAGAACCGTGTGAATCCTGTCTGGGTTTACTGGTGTCCTGTGTTCTTCTCTCCTTCTAGTCGGACTTCCAGTCGGCGCTGAGGATCCATAATGCTGTGGCCTCCAGCATGCACCAGCCGTCTCCTCCGTACCCCCAGAGCCAGCAGGCGCTCCCACTGGCCATGGAGGTAAGCTCTCCTTCACGGGCCTGGCTCCTCTCAGTCGGTTCTGGTCGGGTTCTCCTCCCCGCCCAGAACCGGGCCTCTAGAGAACAGCTGAAGTTCTCAGAAGAAGCGGGCTGAATAAAATCCCTCTCCATCATGCCTCCACTACTGTGGAGTCCAGAGGACACGGTCCTCCATGCAGATGAAGCCTGTCTCACCTGCAGCCATCTTAGTTCTCCTTTAAGGGTCGTGACCTTTGACCCATGAAGGTTCTGTCTCTGTTCAGATGCTTTCCATCACGGCAGCGCCGCCCTTTTCATGTCATTCTGGAGATAACCGGTTGTTTCTCTGCGTCACATGGCTGTTGATTAGAGGGGGCGTGGCCAAGGTGGAACCTTCATTTGCATTAAAATGTCAACAAAAAAAACAGTTTAAGACCTTATGATCATATTTACTCTCCAGTTCATCTGACATTTTATTTCAAATAATGAACCAAACGCTAACGTCACTGATCTGCTGTAGTGGAACCAACCAACAGCCGGGACTCTGAGCAGACGCACGTCGTTCAGGATGCAGCGGCGTTTAAACCCAAAGCAGCAGAAAGCACCGTGGCTTCAGTCCTGGCCTGCAGCCTGCCCTAAAGCCCAGCTGCTGAAGCTCCTGTCACACCATTTAGACCAGCGTCTCCCTGACGTACGGAAAATCTGGCTAAAACACTGGCATACGGTGGATAAGTTATGGGAACGCTGAAATACGCTAAAATACATGCAGAAGTTAGGCTGTTGTTGGACAGAAGTTCTGGACTCGTTATGAATACTCTGTTTATGCCCAGAATGGAAAAAATCCATAGAAAGTTTAGCGTATGCCAGAGTTTTAGGAGATTCTGGCTGTAACAGGAGCCTAAAGAACGGCAGCTACTTCCTGGTTTTACCCTGGTCTCCATCTTTCATATGAAAATGAATTTCAAATGACTCTTGGCTGCTGCAGACGGGCTAACGTTAGCCCTGGCTGCCGTTAGCTTTGGAGCTCCGCAGCTTTTTTAAAATTATGCATTAAATCAGTAAATGGTCCATATAGTGACGCTTTAAAGTAAAATATCCTCACATCAGATGATCTTGAAACATACTTTTATTGAGCAACAGCAACAGAAAGAGAACTCTTAACTCTTAATGGAGCGCTCCATTGAAAGTTGCTGCTGCCGCAGTGCATTCTGGGACAGCTGTCAATCTCAAGAACGGAGCAGCCTGCTCTGATGCATGCTGGGTAAAGAGGGCGGGGTGAGACAACATCCGGGGGTTTGGCGCGTTCTCTGTAATTGGAACAGTGCTCGGACTGAAGCTCAAGAACGCATATTGAGAAACGGCCCTGGTTTGGAGATGACACCCCACCCCCTCCCAGGTAAATGAGCTCTGAGGTCATGATGATGTCATCAGTCTCTGTTGTTTCAGGTCAGGAACCTGCTGCAGTCCAGCCACAGTAAAGAAGGCGTGGAGCTGCTCAGCCTGCTGTCGGACACGCGCCTCCAGGTACGGGAACGTCCAGGCTGCTGCAGCGCCGCTCCCAGGCGTCTCCTCTGGTTCTTCAGCTCCTGTGCTTTCATTTCAGTCCCTGCTTCTGGCGCATGACAGCGTAGCAGAGAGGGAGATGGAGCCCGAGTCTCAGCCGGTGGAAGGAGAGACTCTGACCCAGTGGGGAGGGGAGACGGTGAAGATCGTCCGCATAGAAAAGGCTCAAGATGTTCCTCTGGTGAGTTGGCGACCCCCGCTGCTCTCAGATGGACTCCTGTCCCCCCCCACCCCCACCTCATGGCTTTATGTCCTGCAGGGAGCAACGGTTCGCAATGAGATGGACAGCGTCATCATCAGTCGCATCGTGCGGGGAGGAGCGGCTGAACGCAGTGGGCTCCTGTCTGAGGGAGATGAAATCCTGGAGATCAACGGCATCGAGATCAGAGGGAAAGACGTCAACCAGGTGTTCGACATCCTGGTGAGGATTTGAAACGCTTCCTGCGGAGGTGGGGTCGTTGTCAGTGAGTGCGCTCAGTGACCACGCTGTTCTCTCTGGGTTCCACAGGCTGACATGCATGGCCTCCTGACCTTTGTGTTGATTCCTAGCAATCAAACCAAGCCCCCCCCTGTTAAGGAGACGGTGGTGAGTCCTGCTTATCTGGCTTCACCACTGCCAGCTGCAGTATCCAGACCTAAAGCTGCCTGCTGTCTGTCATCAGGTCCATGTGAAGGCCCACTTTGACTACGACCCCTCTGATGACCCCTACGTGCCATGCAGAGAGCTGGGCTTATCCTTCCAGAAGGGAGATATTCTCCACATTATCAGCCAAGCAGATCCCAACTGGTGGCAAGCCTACAGAGATGGCGATGAGGACAACCAGCCACTAGCTGGACTGGTCCCAGGTAGAAGCTCTAGTCCTGTAGGTTGCTGTCGCTCCGGCCCTGTTAGCGCCTGACAGTATGGCGCTCAGGTCTAGGAGTTATTTTTAAGTTTGTTATGCTTCCTGTCCTGATAGGGAAGAGCTTCCAGCAGCAAAGAGAAGCCATGAAGCAGACCATAGAAGAAGACAAGGAATCCGAGAAACCAGGTGAGTTGTTGGGCTCAGATAAGCTAATATGTTTAGCTCTAAGCTAAGAAAGGCTAACGGCACTATATAAAGCTTTGTTAAACATGGCTGTAAGCTAAGGTAGGCTAACGGCACTATATAAAGCTTTGTTAAACATAGCTATAAGCTAAGGTAGTCTAACGGCAATATATAAAGCTTTGTTAAACATAGCTATAAGCTAAGATAGGCTAACAGCACTATATAAAGCTATGCTAAATATAGCTATAAGCTAAGACTAAATTAACCATACACATACATATAAGAGTAGACCCCTCATTTAATGTCATAGTAATTATGGGCGCCATCTTGGGGAGGTCGACCTGCTACCCTAACCTGCTGGTTCAATCAGAAGAAGAATCACCAGAAGGATGCCTCAGCACTGCGCAGCGTATTTTTATTTGTATCAATGGATTGTGACAGAGCTTTGTAAGACATTACTGAATAAACTGCATATACACACTACATATGGCAGAAAGGAAGGGCTAAATGCTAAAGTTAGCTAAGCTGGTTAGCCATTACTGTTTTATTTCATCAGAACATAGTCATTGTTGGGTTTTTCACAGGAAAGCTTTGGTGCGCCAAGAAGAACAAGAGGAAAAGAAAGAAGCTACTGTACTCCCAGAGGAATGATGGTACGACCCGTCTCATGTCCCCATCTTGGGTATGTGGGTGGAGCCAGTGGTGGGTGGACCGTCAGTCTGCATCAGTGCAGGCAGTACCTGAGATGGGGGGAGGGCATCCCCCCATACCACCCCTCCCCTATGACATTTTATTACTATATGTTTAACATTTCTACTATATATTAAGAGTAATTGCAATGATATTGCCCTTTAAAAAAAAGTGTCCTAGCATGACTATGAAGCTGATCCCAGTGAGAAATGAGTCCCTAACTCTGTTAGAAGCAGTGATAGCCATGCTAACTATGTAGGGGCAGTGATAGCCATGCTAACTATGTAGGGGCAGTGCTAGCCATGCTAACTATGTAGGGGCAGTGATAGCCATGCTAACTATGTAGGGGCAGTGCTAGCCATGCTAACTATGTAGGGGCAGTGCTAGCCATGCTAACTATGTAGGGGCAGTGATAGCCATGCTAACCATTTAGGGGCAGTGATAGCCATGCTAACCATTTAGGGGCAGTGATAGCCATGCTAACCATGTAGGGGCAGTGATAGCCATGCTAACCATGTAGGGGCAGTGCTAGCCATGCTAACCCTGTAGGGGCAGTGCTAGCCAAGCTTACCCTGTAGGGGCAGTGTTTGCCATGCTAACTATGTAGGGGCAGTGTTTGCCATGCTAACTATGTAGGGGCAGTGATAGCCATGCTAACCATGTAGAACCATCCAGAACCAGTTTTGCTGGGCGGCTCGGTTCTTCAGAACATCTGCCCATGTTCTCCTCAAATGCATAACAGCTGTGTCTTTTCCACTGATCCAGACCCTGAAGAGGAAATTCTAACCTATGAGGAGATGGCTCTGTATCACCAGCCGGCCAATAGGAAGCGTCCGATCGCTCTGATTGGTCCAAACAGCTGTGGGCAGGCGGAGCTAAGACAGAGACTCCTCAACAACCAACCAGAACGCTTCGCTGGAGCCGTGCCTCGTAAGACTTCCTCCTCAGTCCCAGCAAAGTTCTGATGGACTGAAACCCTTTCAGTCCAGATCAGAACCTGCTGTTTCTGTTTGTCTGCTCATTTATTATCGATGGGTTATCAAAGCATTTTTGTCAACTGAAATTATTTTAAGTTTTTAATTATATTTATATTTACATTTCTATTTTTCTAATTGATTTTATAAAATTTTTTTATGTATATCTGTATTTTTTTATTTACATTTCCTTCAATATTGTTCTGTATCTAAATACTAATCTTGGATGTTTTTGTCCTTTTTTATTTTTTAATTTTCAGTAAATGTATTAATTTGTACCTTTTTCTGATTGGGTTTGCGGCGTGGCGTGCATGCGGCTACAGACACAACGCGGAGCCGGCGTGACGGCGAGGTCCACGGCAGGGATTACCACTTTGTGTCCCGTCAGGCCTTGGAGGCGGAGCTAGCAGCTGGTAAGACGTCTTGGTTCTGTTAGAACCTCCTGGTTTGGGTTTTGTTCTGTGAAGGAGTTCAGGCTTTAGACCATGCTGCTGGTTCTGGGTTTGAGGTCCAATAAGGTTGGATGTTGGAGGAGGCGTCTGGATCAGGACATCTTTAGAACTGTGAGCAAAACGGACCCAGACGTCTGAGTTCTCTGCCGGGTCTGAGCGGCGCCTCGTTTCCTGCAGGACCGTGCCTGGATCGGACCCTCTATCCCTGAGAGGCAGCTCCTGATCTCTGGAGCTTAGAATGGTTCGGTTCTGGGTCTCGGTTCGCACCGGTAGAGCAGAGCTTCAGGGCCTCTCTTGGCCCTGTTGCTTTCAGAACCAGGCGTGGGTTTGGTCCTCTGGTCTGGGCTCTGTTCCCGTGGTGATGAAAGTGACCTTTTAGATTCCTGTGTTGATTTTCTGCTGACCTTTAGACGATCCGCTTGTGGTTCTCCTCAGGGAAGCTGATCGAGTCTGGCGAGTTTGAGAAAAACCTCTATGGAACCAGCACCGACTCTGTGAGGCAGGTCATCAACACTGGGAAAATCTGCGTGCTCTGTCTGCACACACAGGTAGGTGGCGTTCTGCTCCTTGACTTCTAGAGTCAGATGAATGCTGACCAGGTCTGGGTTCCCACTGCAGGCCCTGAAGGTTCTGAGGTGCTCCGACCTGAAGCCCTACATCATCTTCATCGCCCCGCCCTCACAGGAGAGACTCAGAATGCTGCTGTTAAAGGACAACAAGAACCCAAAGGTGCGGCCTGTCTACCTGAACGCCTGATAGGAACGCGCTCTGACCTCTGCCCTCACCTGTGTGTGTTTGTCCCGCAGCCCGAGGAGCTGCGTGACATCATTGAGAAGGCCCGGGAGATGGAGCAGAGCTGTGGCCACCTGTTCGACGCCATCATCGTCAACACAGACCCAGACAAGGCCTACGCTGAGCTGCTGCGGCTCATCAACAAGCTGGACACCGAGCCGCAGTGGGTACCGTGCTCCTGGCTGCGCTGAGCCCAGCAGGACCAGCTGCTGCCATGGAAACCTGACTGAAATCACACCCTTCAAGCTGTCATTAATGTTACGTCTCCCAGACGACACTGAAAGGAAGCTAGGTTCTACAGATGTCCGGCTACGCAAATTACAGCTTAGGCTAAAACACAATGCCATTTTAACAGAAAGATCCATAAAACTGAACTTTAGTTTCGTTCTTTGGAAACTAAAATTGATGTGCAAACCTTTATTTAATCACATCAAACGGACGAGGCCCGAACCTTTATTAAATCGCATCAAAGGGACGACGCCCCAACCTTTATTTAATCACATCAAACGGACAACGCTAAGACCTTTTTTTAAATCGCATCAAACGGACGACGCCCGAACCTTTATTAAATCGCATCAAACGGACGGCGCTTAAACCTTTATTAAATCGCATCAAACGGACGTCGGTAAAACCTTTATTTAATCGCATCAAACGGACGACGCCCGAACCTTTATTAAATCGCATCAAACGGATGACGCTTAAACCTTTATAAAATCGCATCAAACGGATGATGCTAAAACCTTTATTAAATCGCATCAAACGGACAACGCTTAAACCTTTATTAAATCGCATCAAACGGACGACGCTAAAACCTTTATTAAATCGCATCAAACGGACAACGCTTAAACCTTTATTAAATCGCATCAAACGGACGACGCTAAAACCTTTATTAAATCGCATCAAACGGACAACGCTTA